CAAAGACAAAGTAGCTGCTTTTTCCTCTTTCTGATTAGTTCCTTTAAAATTTTACATTTAAATGGAGGCAGATTCCTGTTGTATTTGTGAAATGGGGAATGTTGCAAGCCTATGACTTGAAGATTTAAAATATTTTTCTCTGTAAATACTAAGCTGTAGTTCTCCTGATTCCATGAAATGAAACTATGCAGTCAAGGAGTCTGAAAGAAATTAAACATGATGACTGTGCAACCATACCTGCCACTTTCAGGAGGAAAAGCATTTCCCCACAAAGAGAGAAAATCACCTGTTTCTTCCAGATCTAATTAGTTAAAAAGTTTCTAGTTAGGGGACGGGAGAAGGTATAACACTGAATGTTTGATAATCAGTATTAAGAGAGTAACTGCAGGGGCAAATAGATACGTATGATTTATTTTCCTAGAATGAATCCACCGACAGTCATATCCTGCTCATGTCCTTGTTTGCATGAGCAGGATATGTGGCCACAGAGAGTGGTCGTTGCTCAAGGATACGATCCTCAAAGCACAAAAGAAAACCATTCCTGCAAAGAGGAAAGGCAGCAGAAGGGCTGGCAAGCCCTCCTGGCTTAATAGGGACATTGTGGTCCTCTTAAAAAAGAAAAAAGAGGTGTACTCACAGTAGAAGCTAGGGACGGTCCTCAAGGAGGACTATACAACAGTGGCCAGCACTTGTAGGGAAATGATCAGGAAAGCCAAGGTGGTGACGGAGTTTAGGTTGGCTGCGGGAGTCAAGGACAATAAGAAGTCCTTTTGTAGGTATGTAGGCAGTCGAAGGGAAACAAATGGAAGTGTGGGACCCCTGCTTAACACCTTGGGACAGCTGGTAACTGACATTCAGGCAAAAAACTGAACTCCTGGATGCCCACTTTGCTTCAGTATTTCACTGGACCAAGGGGAAAGTCAAGTGAGATAAGGCTCACAGGGGACATGCTGGGACTGACAGCCTTCCCACTGTGGATGCTGTGTGGGTGCAATAGCAATTAGAAAAGCTAGACATTTATAAGTCAGCAGGACCG